CTAAAACCTTCCCAATCCTTCTACCCGGGCTGCCTTCCTCTCCCCTCCTTCCCACCTGGGATCCCAGAAACTCGTTTCTGGAGACCAGGCTTTGCTGTGGCCCAAAGCCTCTCGCCAGCTCTTGGAACCAGAGACCCCTGGGAGCACACGCCTCACCTGAGTGCCCTGTGTCCACCTTCAATCCAGCAGACCAGGGGTCCCACCCACAGGGCAGGAGTCTGCTCCCAGAGGCTGACCTCCCAGCCGCCTGGGCTGTGCTGTCCTGTGCTGACACCCTGGGAAACAGCAGGGGGACAGGCACCTTCCTGGTGTGGTCATGGCCTTCTCGGGCCTGAATCAGGCTGCACGCTGGGCCCTTCTCCACCCTGGCTGCACACGGACTGAGCGGGCCAGACCCACCGGAGCTCCCACCAGCCAGAGATGTGAGCCCCGATAACCCCAGTAATTGGAGGGCAGCCACAGCGATAAAGTCCCCAAATTATTATAATGCAGAGTGGAAGGCGGGCAAATGCAGGGTTCTGGGCCATTTTATAGGGGATTTGGGGGAGTCCGGGGTGGAGGAGATCTACATCTCTGGGAAGGGGTGGTAATTTCCTTCATGAAGAACCGCAGGCCCCGAGTGACCTAAATGAGCTGCCCGACCTGCAAATTAGGCTGACTCCAGCCTGCCCAGGCCCAGCTCTGGCTATTTAAAGGGCCGCCAGGGCCGAGTGAGTGTCCAGCCATTCCTCTGCGTGCCCAGCTCCTGCCCGCACCACCCAGCCTCGCCCTCTGTGCAGCATGAGCCGCCAGTTTACCTACTACCCCGGCGGTGAGCGACTGGGCTTCAGCGGCTGCTCAGCGGTCATCTCGGGCCGGGTCAGCAGCAGTGCGGCGTCCTTCCGGGCCGGCGTCAAGGGAACGGCCGCCTTTGGCAGCAAGAGCCTCTTCAGCCTGGTGGGCAGCCGGCGTATGTCCATCAGTGGCCGGGGCTCCAGCTACGGGCTGGGTCAGGGCACGGGCAGCTGTGCCAGCCGCGTGGGCACCGTCTTTGGCAGCAAGGGGCTAGGTTCTGCGTGCCAGTTCATGTGCCCACCCGGGGGCATCCCTCAGGTCACGGTCAACAAGAGCCTCTTGGCCCCCCTCAACGTAGAGCTGGACCCTGAAATGCAGAAAGTGCGGGCCCAGGAGCGGGAACAGATCAAGGCGCTGAACAACAAGTTTGCCTCCTTCATCGACAAGGTGGGTCCGGCACGACTGTCTATCCTGAGTTGGCACCCCCGGGGGTGCCCGGCTCTGCCAGGGAGGCCCGGGAACTTGGAGGGATTCTTGAACCGCTGTAGGGAGCCCAAGTGTCCCTAAATGTTGTGTGGCTAACCACAAGATCAGCAGATAGAACCCACCCATCCCCATAGAGTTACAGCCTTGCAAACCCCATGGGGCAGTTCTGCCCTGACCGGTGGGGTGGCTGTGGATCAGAGCAGAACCTGCTGAGGGTGGGTTAGTGCCCCACCCTTACTATGAGATGGGTACAGTGATGTTTCTGACCTCGCAGGAGTAGGTGGGATTTGCCTGGCGCACACTTCCAGGGAGCGAGCGTACCCTTTGCTTCAGACTCAACCCTGGATGGACAGGCTCTGGGGGCAGGCAATCTGTGGACTGCCCTCACTGAGGGCTCCGCACATCAGATAAAGAGATGGGGAACACATCAGGCATGGGGCAGGAGAGGGACTTGGGCCAGGGCGTGTCGGAAGAACAGCGTGTCTGGCAAACGGAGGAGGAGGAGGGCGTGGGAAGAAGGAAGCAGGATGGACAAGGGGCCAGGTGGTTTCTGCAGATGTTCAGCACAGGGGCCGGAAGATGGAGGGAAGAGGGTTCAGAGGGAGGACATGTCAGGTATGTACATGGCGGATGTGGGGGTGCTCAGGAATTGGGGTAGCAGGGAAGGTGTCCCTGGACTTGGGGACAATCGTGGGGTTCATGCTGCAGTGACTACTCTCGGCTCATCTGGGTGGACAGTCTGGACAGAGAATGCCAGGGGACCACACAAGGATAGCTATTATCTATGAAGGTTACGGATCTTCAGGGCCAGGTGCTGTTCCAGGTGGTTCTCATTCTTCAACGGACAGCTGTGAATCTAGTCTTATTCTGCTTTTCGAGTAAGGAGATGAAGGCCCGGGGAAGCTACGAAACGTGCCCCCTTTGTAGAGCAGTCCCTGACGGTGAGGCTAGAGATGAGGGGGTAGGGGGTGGGCGGGAAAGGCATGGGTGAGACAAACATCACCATCACCCCGGAGAATGGGGTCCCATTTTCCCTCCTACGAAGTGGGCCGGTCTCTGCCACGTCCCCCTCTCTCCCCAAAGCCACAGACACAGGGGAGAAGAGGTCTGCTGCGAGCGGGGAAGGGCTTGAAACGAAGGAGTCCCCCAATGTGACATCTTGCATCAAATAGGAAGGAACTTTGTAAAGATGTGGGAACCCACTTTTGAAACACAAACCAAGAACCATTGTGTAGCTATGCATGAGACAGAGCCTCCTAAGCCCCTAAGCCCCTAAGCCAGTGGTTCTCCACCTTCCTAATGCTGCGGACCCTTTCATCCAGTTCCTCATGCTGTGGTGGCCCCCCAACCATAACATTATTTTCGTTGCTACTTCATAACTGTAATTTTGCTACTGTTGTGAATCGGGCGACCCCTGTGAAAGGGTCATTGGACCCCACCCTGCCCCCCGCCGAGGGGTCACCACCCACAGGTTGAGAACCGCTGTCCTAAGCAAATCTCCAGGGCTATCCCCAGTCACCGTCTCTCCCTGCTTACCATCTACCTTTACCAGAAACCATTAGCATGGAGAACAAAGGGATCTACACCACCCCCACCCCCTAATTCTGATTTCATTCCGAGGGGATCTGACTTCTTGCTCTGGAGATCCAGAGAGGCAGATCTGCCTGGCCCAAGTATATCCTCTGATGAGCTTTGGCTCTTTCTTGGCCTGCCTCGCCCTTCGCACCCCAGGACGAGTGCCTCTGATTGGCTCTCCCTCTACTCCTGAGAGGCAGCCAGCATGGGGATTCTGGGTCATGATCACTTTGGGGTTCCAGGTGCGGTTCCTGGAGCAGCAGAACCAGGTGCTGGAGACCAAGTGGAACCTGCTGCAGCAGCTGGACCTGAACAACTGCAGGAAGACCCTGGAGCCCATCTACGAGACCTACATCGTCAACTTGCAAAAGCAGCTGGAGACACAGTTAGGAGACAGGGTGCGGCTGGACTCGGAGCTGAGGACCATGCAGGACGTGGTGGAGGACTACAAGCAGAGGTGAGGGGGCAGACAGGCACGTTTCCACTGGAGGGTCTCGATAACAGATGATGGTTCCATTAGGTGGCAGCGTTTGGGGCTTCTCTGGACCTTTACTAGATACCACCATTAGTTCCTTTCCTATAGGGGAGGGAGGGAGAACCAGACAGAATGGGGCTTACAAGGAGGATGAAACTGCCCAAACCAGGCTCACTGCCATCCAACCTGCTTCTGACCCACTGTGACCCTCAAGGACAGGACCTCTGTGGGTGGTGGTTCTGAACTGCTGAGTTCATGGTCAGCAGTGCAATGCACAGCCACTATACCACCAGGATCCTAAGAAAAGGATCGTTGTATCCAAAAGGAACCGTTGAAGAAATGGTACGCTCCATTCCCAGCCTTGGAGGGGGGATTGGAAATGGAATGAGCTTGCAAGCAGCTTCCCCCTCCCCCTCCCCCTCCCCCAGGGAGGTTTGCCATGGCCCATTCTCAGGCATAAAATGCTCCACCGATGCCAGGACAAATCTTAAAGCTAAGCAAAAAGGAGATTTTTAAAAACCGTTGCATGGGGAGGCATCACGTGTGTTATGGAAGCCCACCGTTCAAGAGAATCAAGGTGCGTGCACCTGTCCTTGGAACCAGGGGTGGCTTCTCCTCTGACTGATGCTGAGGACGCGAGGGGGATAAGTGGAGGCTCAGCCTGACTTGGTAGTTAGACGTTTGTTTCCAGCTGCCAGGATTTCTAGGGGCAAGTAATTTCTCCCACAATTCAAGGAGGGTGGATGTGGTCACAGCTGAGCTCTTTTCTCATGTCCCATGTCCAGTCTGCCTGTGCATCACCATTCTGAAGTATCCCCAAAGCAGAGCTCCACCCTGAGCCCTGCCTGGAGGTCCTGAGGGGGCAAGGGGCATGGTTCCTGCCTTCAGAGAGCACCCAGGGTATGGGGCGTCCTCCCCATGGCCATCATGAAATGGAGCGGATAAGTGTGATCTGAGATTGAGGGGCATTCAGGAGGGAACCGGAGCCCTCTGGAAATCCATGCAGCCTCTGCAAAGAGGGCGAGGCTGCCAGGCACCGCCTGGAGATGCAGCTTTCAGCCAGCCTGGGGCTATCCTGGGGCTGGACCTTTCTGAAAGGAGAGGTTGGTTGCTCCGGAAGTGCCACTCCCCAGCCGACCTGGTGGGGGAGGGGGTTATGCATGGGGCTTCGCCCTGCAAGGTCACCTGTTGCTCTTCAGGAGAAAGACAGGGCTCGGCACTCCCGACAGGAGTTGCGGTCTCAGAAACCCACAGGAGCTGTTCTACCCCATCCTATAGGGTCACTAGTTGTCAGAATGGGCCCAAGGGTAGTGAGATTTTGGGTTGGGTTTTTTGGTGGTTTTTTTTTTTTTTTTGAGTTGAGTGTCTTGGGTGCGACTCTTAAACAAATACTTGCCTTGATACCTAAAACGGTGATGGGAAGAAAAGGCTGGATCATGCCAAACAGTAATGAATTCACAGCTCTTCAAGACAGAAGATCCTGCTTCTGCGCCCCCCCCAACCCCACCCCCCATCAGAAGTCTGTCTTTGAACCTAGCTGCACAGTGAACTAACTATAAATGAATGTCATTTGTCTTATTTATAAAATTGGGATCATCATAGATCCCCAGCAGGCAGCTGTGGGGATGAAGTCAAATCATGTAGATGAAGAGTTTGGCATACGGGCGTGGGGTTCATACAGGCTCGCAGCATTTATTATTGCCATCATCCTTTTTATTAATTATATCTAATATCCCTCACCCATGGGTCCCCATGCCACTGCGTCTTCCTAACTATATAAGAGATCCTAATCACAGGTCAGCCCCGCCGTTGGTTTTCTTCATGTATCTGCCCTCCTGTTAACCCCAAGACCCTAAAACACAGGCACTCGGTGTCTGAGCTCGGTGGCTGTGCTATTTGAGATTTCCTGCTTTTTCATGGACTCCCTACAAGAGATGGCTTTAAAAGCACATCACAATTTTAAAATTGGGCTCAACCCCATGTTTAAAAATTGACAATTAAGTATATGCATCCTGAATTTAAATACAAAAGACATCATTTCTGTAAGGTAGTTGAGAGGCGCCAGAAACCAAATCAGTTGAATTAGAACAAACAGGCTTTGTTAGGGAGAAAAACCCAGCCTGGGCGAAGTCCCACAGTCCACAATGTCTGGGCTGGGGGAGTCGCACTGCAGGCTACAGGGCTGCTGCTTATATATGGACAGGTATATCTGGGTTTCTGGAATGTAAGGTGTCTTCCTGGTTCCGGGAGTATTTGTGCTAGGTGCAGAGCGGTGGGCAAGAACAAGGCAGGCACTGAGCCAAATGGGCCATGCTGGTGCTGGGTGCAGGCCGAGAACAAAGCAGGCACTGAGCCAAACGGGCAGTGAACAAAACGGGCCATGAGTAAAATGGGACCGTGAATAAAACAAAGAAAAAACTTGCAAAGCTGCTGACAGGTTACATAGCCAGCTCTGGTCAGCTCCGCAGGTGTGTGTGGGAAATTTAAGGCCACTTGCTGCTAGTTGTTTCAGCCAGTTGTGGTCAGCTCTGCACAGGTGGGAGAGATTCAAGGTCACTTGCTGCTAGAAGCCGGCCTGGTATTGATCTGACCATACATTCCCAGCTCTTTGGTGATATGGGCGACGACTTTTCTGGCTACTTCCTGCGGGTACTGGGATGGCGTGGGAGGGGCTTATGGATTGGGAATGTTTGGCTCCTTTGGGAGAGGACTGGTAAGGGTGCAATAACATTTGATTAACGGCAACACGAGAAATTTTTTGCATTCAGTTGCGAAGAAAGTTTAGCAAACAGGGCG